GCGATGGTGCAGGAAGGGAAGAAAAATCCTACTGTTTGCTACCCTGAAACAAGAGCATGGGTTTTATTTCCACATTAACGATTCAGGCCTCTATTCAAAGCTTCTAAGTGATTTTTAAGGGGTGCCATTAGGTCTGAAGAGGGAGGAACTCCTCTGAAAAAGACCAGGGTGTTTACAGATTCATAGATCCCAGAGCCGAGGCAGATGGCTCAGATTAAGTCTCCATCCCTGCTGGGGAAATGCCACTGCACATCCTGTCTGCATCCCTCCTTAGCCCAGGGACGGGATCCAGCCCAGAGTTAACACAGCACCCACCGCTCGCCTCTGCTCGTGGTTCCACTGGTATCTTCCTTCTCCTTGTAGAAAGGTAATTGCATAAAAGACTCCCACACTTCTTTCTATTTTCAGATTGCCTGATTCCAGTTTTGAATCGTTAGTTATTTGAAAGTTTCTCTCCACTCCACTACTCCCTGCATACAGTTATTTCCCCCCTCGTAAGGTATCGCACACAAACTGAGGCACTCCTGAGCCGTCCTCCCGAGAAAACAATTCTTCTTTATATCTGTTAGTGCAAATGTATTTACTCTGGGGTTGTAACTTATTTTTTTCTATAATGTCTTCCAGGTTACAATCTGAACTTTTAAAAGGTAATAACTAAAATAGTGTATTTTCCCAGGATCCTTACCACAGACCTGGGAAAATTAAGTCAACTTCTTATTTCTGCTTTTGTATCTAAGGACAAGTTCTTACACCACTGCTTCACATTGGCAGCTCACACTGAATTGCTTTGTCCACCAGTGCTGCACAAAGGATACTTACTACTTTCCACCGTCTGCAGCTATGATATGAATATTTTAAACACTGAATAAAAACATTAATTTAAGACCAAGTGCCACTAACTTCTCCAATAACACCCCTATTGCACAGTGATTTCCTAATGGAAACTATTTTGAGAGCGTTGGTCGGTTCCTAAACTTTGTATCGGGTGATACTGCCCAACACTCATGTTTTGATGAGTGTACTGTGATACTTAAGGTGATAATTAAGTGCCAAGCACCTAAGTAATTCTCAGTGCGCCTATATTATAATCTTTGCCAACTCTCTTTTTCAATTACTTGTCCCCCCAAATAACAAAACTTACTTTTCATAAAACCATACTGGCTGACATGAATTCTTTATCATTTGAGTCCTGTATCAGCTTTTGCATTATTTGGCCCAGGATGACTGTTAATGCTACCTGCCATACAGTAACCCAGTTCATTCCCTCGTTAATGGGATAATTGGTCATAAATTTATCACATTTGGACTCTTCTGCGGTTTCCATGCTATTCCAAGATTTAATTTCTTTTCAGTTAGACTGGTCTGTCTGCCTGCCTCAGGGGCGTGCAGTGCCAGGGAAGCATGCCATATTGGAATTAAGAAAGTGGAACTGTTTTCACAATTTGTTTACCCCCCTCAAGGAAAAAGAACTAAAAAAAAATCCAGAGAGAGCAATTTGCCTGCAGGCTAAGAACATGCTTATTCTCTCAAATATAGCTTTCATATTGTTTCACTACATTTATAGTCATTTTTTTGGTCAAAGTAACTAGTACTCAGAAACAATGAGAAACTATACCCTGAAATTACAGTCTGACATCACAGAAAGCATTATTTTTCAAGAAAACTGGTGGGTCTGCCAGTTTGCCAATTAATTTCTTTGCCCGCCATAGTGACTTCCTTCTAAAGAATTCAGAACTCTTAAGAAAAATACACTGCGCTCCATAACGCAGCGCTGACTTGCTGGGAAAGCTAGAAGGGGTTGTGGCCTGCCCATTAGCAATTAGCTGTAGATGCAGGAGATGTTTCTACATCATCTGGCAGCTTTTCTTGTCTGTCATCTCAACTGTGAGCAGCCAACTTCACTTCAGTGTGCCAGGAAGACAGGTAGGACTTTAATTTGAGTGGATGATAGAAGAGATCATGGAACTGATCTGCACCGAAGCATCCAGAACGCCGTCAGAAGCCAACTAAAACAAGAGGTTCTGGGCAGTACCTCTTTACCTCTCCTTCCCTCCCAGCCAGCCTTTAAACGACGTATTGCTGCCACAAAATCCCTGGAGTAACTGGGAATTGCAAGCTGTCTTCTGCTTCCTACTCTGTTTTGTTTCCGTGACTCTCGCATTAACCAGGTTATCCCCCTTATCATTTGGGGGGTTACGCTAATACTTATAGCCATCAAAACACTTGCTGTCAATGTCACTGTAGATTCTTGTCAGACGTGAGTCATAAAAAGAGATATTAAGACCCTCTTTCTTCTCTATATAAATGACTAGTTGAGTGACAGTAACTTTTGATTGACACCGTAAAGAGTAATATGCTTTCTGTAGTTTTAATTTTAAGCATGTCCACACTGGATGAATTAACCTGTCTTATGTGTGAATACAGTTTCAAACTCACAGCTTGGCTGAATTCCCAGAAACCTTTGAGACAGTCATATATGAATGTTACTGAGTTTTATATCTGATTAGGAAGCTTACAAACTCAGTGTGTGTAATCTTGGAAGCCAAATTAAAAAAAACAAAAAAACCCCAAAACAAATTAGAAACTATCTATGTAGTTTTTTTCCTAAATGTTACTTTGATCAATACCCTTTTAAACTCTGTCTGGATGATCCAGCTATTAGTAGGTAAGTGCATTCCTTCAAATACAAGAACCCATCTATGTATATGCAGATCTGCATTTTCAAAGGGAGAATGAAGTGCGTCAGGAGCCTGAGTTACCAGATATGAAAGCTCTGATCTACAAACTCCAAAGTGAGACTTTGATAAGTCAAGCCAGATCCTTTGCTCCGTCATGATTTTTCCAAGCAAGTTCTAGGCTGACACGACAGGAGAAAAATCAGTGGGAGAACGACTGTCGGGCGGCTCTTTGTGTGTGTTATTCAAAGAGAGGATTGCTTCTCTAGGATTACTTCCTCTACTTCACAGATAAAACTCATCTCTCGAGTGTTCTGATTAAAATAAGCAAGCTAAACTCACAAGCTATTTAGTACATAGCTTTGTATAGGGTTACTGTATTCCACACCTAAATACAAGGTCTTAAGCCAAAAGCTTCCTTCGTTTCCCTCCCACTGTATGGGTTTGTCTAATCTTAAATATATTCCCTCATTTCTCCAACCATCTCAGAGTTAGTACCTTTCCATTCAATTAATTCTTGTTACAGTATTACTTTTAAAAAACAAATAATAGGTTTTTATGACAAACAATTTTTTGCAGCCTTATGTTTTCACAGCCAGACACTGACAGGACAGAATCCCTTTTATATATATTATCTTCTGAAAATACTATTAATCTTACCTGCATAGGTCATTAAATAGCCATTTTGTACCTCATAATATAAGTCTTAGACAAAGACTACCCATTACACAAACACTGTGGGAAAAGAATTTGTAAGAAAATGGAAGACTAAATAAGGCCTTGAATAGCTTTATTGAAATCTGTATAAATAAACATGCGCATTTCAAATGTAAACCCAAGTGAACTCAAGTGCAGACAAAATTTTAACCTCTGTCATGCAGGAGGTTAGTTTACATTTAAAAAAAAAACAAAAAAACAAAACTCAAAGCAGCTTTAAAATACCAGGATGAAACACCAGTTTTAATATCAAGGTATAAAGCAAAGCCATGTCCAACATACCTCATTTATATCCTGGTCAAATGCAATTTTTTAAACTTTTTAATGCTAACATAAATAAATAATTTACCAAAATGTGCACTCACAGAGTGAACTTTTATTTACAATACACAATTTATAACCTATTGTATTTGATTAGTTCAAGTGAAGAACATCATACTTTTTGCTTTTTTCCTCTTTTAAATTATCTGTTTATAACCAGTGGGACACAAAGCGATTCTCCAGGTAGTAGATATGTGAAGTGTGCCCCTGCACTTAAGAGCCCCTCTCAAAGGCAGTATTGTATACAAATCAACAATACATTCTTCCAACTAGATCATAGGGAAAGCAGCGAATTAAAAAAATGTTTCAAACTGTCACACTTATTTTGGCATCCCGGACCCCTGAACATAGTTAACTGAAATCCAATTCAAAGTTTGTATGCCTTATATACTGTACAGGTTCTGACTTGAACATGCAAACGCCAATTCTCTTATAATGAGTTACCTTTGCAGATATGCTGTAAGGCTATGGTGAATTCCATCAGGAACACACAAAGAAAATTAACAGGCCTACCTTTAAAGTTCTTTTGTTCATTAACAACTTAAAGGCAGGTTATATTGAAAAAATTCTCATCTAAGCCCGATACACAGTCATTACTATGGATACAGGATACTATTAACTCTGACCCTATTACAGAGTAGTTTGCAAGCTGTCAAACTGCAAAAACTGGGGAGATAGAACTTACAGCACAATTTTAAATTTTGAACTGACACCAGATTAAAATTATGCATGTCTTATAAGCAAGATAACAGGAATTATGTCTGCAGAGTAGATTCCAACAAGCAACAAAGGATACTTACATTTAATTGAAAAACTTTCTGTTAATGCAGCATGAAATCCAGAACCTGTTCCACAGCAGCAGTAAGATGAACATAATATTCTGGATGCTCAGCTATATCACAAAAGGTTAAAACACCTTTTCAAGCTATTTCTTCTATTGTGACCGAATTTAAACAAAAAATAATGAATTTTTAGGGAGAAACAAAATTTTGCTGTTTCAAGAAAACTACTGCTTACATATTTATGACATTTTTACTGGTAGTCTGTGTGACAGCCTAAGGAACATGTACATATTCATCCAGGAACGAGACTTGGCAGTAGTATTCTTGCAGTACTAAGAAAATAAATCTCAGAAATCCACAGATTTAACATTTTTCTTATTAACTCACATCCAAAACAAAAGAAAACATAATCCATCAGAACAGCAGCAGAAAACTTAAAAGGGGTTTATTTGTGATTTCCTATATATAGCTTGTGAATACAAGACTGTAAATGCATTAGAGACAATTTCTGTTTAAGTTTTTATTGTTTCACTTCAAGTACTGCACATGTTAAAATGTAATAAAGATTTACATTCTGTTATCTGAAATTCCCCATCTCAGATTTTTATTCTTAATTTGCTGGGCAATTTCACTCTTTCAATAGGTATCCCCAGTAAGAAAGTCTCTTTTATGGCTTCTAGTTCTTCCATTAGTTAGTGTGCATACAATTTTCATTTTCTATATCATTATCGTTTTCGTTGCTGTCTTCATCACTTTCTAGTGGGATGCCTGTAGCAGCTGAAGCACCTTGTTTAGATTCCCGGTCAAGAGGGAAAAAGCCAGTTCCACTGATTGTGTCTTGTCTCTGGTAGAAAAGCACATATGCTGCTTTGGACTGTAAAAGAGAAGTGTAATATGTTCATGAGGCTCCAGACAAAACATTTACAATCCAAGTTACCCTTTTTTTTTTTTTTTTTTGTTGTTGCTTCCAATTCTACAAGGTAAAATTACAAAGAAATCCAAAGCTTTCATGTAAGCTATTTTTGCATGTCAGAGCAAACCATTTTTGTTTTGTACTGTCCTTTGAAGGAACCCAAACTACTACCTACAAATTTACTCCAAGGTTCGTGATTTACTCTTCATTTTTCTTCCCTCAAGAAGAAAACATCATCAGCAGTTCCAATTTAGAAACACAAAAGGTACTTGCCACTATTTGGTCCTCACATGCAGTGGACACACTACTGTCATCAAAGTAGTACCATTTTCCATCATCCTTATTTTTTGCAAAAGCAGTATCTAGGACAAAAAAGCACAACGTCTGAGGGCTCTGTATCTTCATAGATGTAATACAATCAGTCGCTAGAGTCTGTTACTGTCAAACACTTGACATTTAACTAACTAAAACCTATTCTCACTATTAGACTCATATTGTCACACACTTTTTTTTTAAAGCAAGGAAAGCTTAACCAGTAACATTCCCCTTCTAAAGAGAATGTACAGTGAGAAAGGGCAGTCAAAATAAAATCCCACAGTCACTTTTTCATTTTTCTCTCTTCTTTCAAGGAGATGCACAAAGTACAAAAATAGACAAGTAAGACAATATCAGTTGTAAGAGTACAGTAGCTCTTATGGAGCTCTTACATTTTCTCTTTTCACAATATGCATAGCTAGAAGTACGAAAGAACCTACAATTATCCTTGAAAGCTCATTTAATATAGATTTTTGCATTAGAACACTTGTGAAGGCTTTTCAAGGCAATGAAAAAAATTGTCCCTCAACCATTAAAAAAAAAAAAAGTTGATTCAAAGTCATCAGTACTTAAATCAAAACGAACACGGAAAGAAAGCTGACATGTAGAATGATGATACTTGAAATCAACTTACAATGCCCTCCTCCCATTCCTCCATAGTGGTTGGAGACAGCAATCAAGTTGTAGCGGCAAGGCCCTGCATTGGGATTAATAAGGAACTCTGACATGTCCAAGTCGCTGTTTAAAAAAAAAAAAACAAACCAAACACACACAAAAAAAACAAAACACAAAAAAAACAACCAAAAGAAAGTCACGTTAATAATACTTCTAACCATTTTGCATTTTGGTGGTCTTTGAGCCCTTTACTTTATATTCCCCACAAAACACACACACAGCAGACTACACTGACAGCGCATCTCTTTCACTCTGTGAGGAGTGGAACAGGAACCAGTAATCTCGGCCAAAACTATCGATAGAGTTATTTCGTACTTATCGACTATTATTATTTTTCCAAGTTCATACTTTTCACCTACAAGCATTTTGTTTACTGGATCCACGCATGGAAGCTGAGAACAAAACCATTTTATATAATTGCTGGATTAAACACGTGCCCTAGTCATGTTAACTTTTACATTTCCAGCACCAAAATATTTAGGTTTCTTACTTTACTGGAAAGCCAACCAATGTGTCCAACTTGTCCCTCATGTATCTGCTGTAGGAAAAGCGCTTTAGATGAACTACCAGTACGGGGGGCAGTGACCACAAGTCTAACTTCTTGGTAGCTTGCTGATGTTCTTTACAGTTTGGACAATACCTAAAAGAAAAAAAAAAATATCAATTTTAAGTAACTGCAGTCCATATGTATGTTAAAATACATTACCGTAGAGAAAGCCAGTAACATGGGAGGAACTGAATAAGCAAAAGCTGAAACACACACACATTCCATCGTCTGTTACCAGTGCCATTGATATCCCTTCCAGTTCAAAGCGTGAGGTGCTAGTGTGCAAGTGTCCTCACAGTGAAGCTCGACAGCATTTTAAACACAAAAGTAGCACCCCTCAATAGGATTCTCATCTCCTATAGGAGTCCCTGTATCTTTAGTTAAAACACAGCTTTCTCATATTTTATAAAAAAAAAGATGAAGGGTTATGAAAATACTTCAGGAAAACTGACTATATGCAAAGCCATAAATAACAGACAACTGTGGTTCTTCCAATTTCCAAACTCTTCCATCTCCCACCTCATCCCCCCTACCACTAAAACCAGATAACAACGACTACTGGAACTTGAAAAAACTCCTTACTACAAAAGCTTGCCTCCTTAGCAGGCAAGTACTAAACAGGCTGTGACTTACAGATTTCTGTTCCCTCCAATGCATACTTGAATCTTTCAAGAACTAAGGCTCAGGGAGGAAGGTAAGTAAGAACAATGCATGGAAGCAACTCTTCTGTGGTCTACACATACTCTACATCTTGGTATCTAACTAGTAAAGATCTAGGAAAAAAAGGGATGAGCGTTAATTAAAAAAGACTGAACAAGTGTCTTTACACAGCAACATCAGATAAAGATGAGAAATTAGGAGAACTGTAATGGCAAGCTGTAACCTGGGAGCCAGCTGCCCCAACTTGGAATTGTTTTCCCAGTTGGCTTAGTCTCTGGAATACAAATAGCACTGGACTAGAGATGATGAGCTCTCCTAGGTTAGACCTGTGAAGACCTGACAAATGAAGAATGAATGTGATTAATGACCTCTGGTGAGATATATCTAGTAGTAACTGCTTGACTTCAGCAGCAATTGTATTTTGTAGTTTAAATACTCTGCTTAAAATGTGTTGCAAAAATGGAAGCGCTTCACCATATCAACACCAGTTGGGCGGAGAGGAACCTGATGAAATTCACCAAGGGCAAGTTGTAGGGTCCTGCACCTGGGGAGGAATAACCCCATACACCGGTACAGGTGAGGGGTTGACCTGCTGGAAAGCAGCTCTGCAGAGAGGGACCTGGAAGTCCTGGTGGACAACAAGTTGACCATAAGCCAGCAATGTGCCCTTGTGGCCAAGGTCTCCTGGGGTGCATTAAAAAAAAGTGTGGCCAGCAGGTCGAGGGAGGTCATCCTCCTTCTCTACTCTGCCCTGGTAAGACCACACCTGGACTACTGTGTCCGGTTCTGGGCCCTCCAGTTCAAGGACAGGAAACCACTGGAGGAAGTCCAGCAGAGGGCTACAAAGATGATCAACAGAGTGGAGCATCTCTCCTAGGAGGAAAGGCTGAGAGACCTGGGGCTGTTTAGCCTGGAGAAGAGAAGACTGAGACAGGATCTCATCAATGCTTATAAATAACTAAAAGGTGGGTGTCAAGAGGATGGGACTGGACTCTTTTCAGGGGCAACGGGCATAAACCGGAACACACAAAATTCCTGGGTGAACCTGCTTTGGCGAGGGGGTTGGACTAGATGATCTCCAAAGGTCCCTTCCAACCTCTGCCATTCTGTAATTCTGTGATACTTGAGTTATATGGTATCTCAAATAGTCTCTCCGGTGTTGTATAATCTAGCCCACCCAGAAAAAAAACGAGAATGTATAAGTCAGCCCCGTCCCCTGCCCAACTAAAGGAGGATCTCTGGTGACAAAGCTTGGAAGTCTCCAAAACTTTTAAGTACCCTTGAAAGAAAAAGTGGCAGACCCTCTTTTCAAACTTAATTAATTCTGAGCTCCAGGTGTTGATGAAGGATTCTTATCTGCTAGAAAATTCCGTGAGAAGGACGATCTTACAGGAACATCCTATAGTTGTGAATATTCAGATATGATTCCAAATCATCATTTGAAAGAAACACGAATCACTAAAGTCTCTGCGAAAAACTTCATGGTTGGAACATGAATTTGAGAGGTTCTACTGACTACAGATATCCCTCGTCCCACAAACCCATTGTTTAAGCGCATCCCTATTTCATATACCAATGTAAAGCAAGTTATGTATTTGCATAAAAAACCTTCAGTACGCACCAACCTTTCTAACCTCAGAAAGGAGTATTTGTTTAAACCACTGGGTTGGATTTGGCACAGGATTATTGATTCACTGTGGATCACAGTTCACAGACCAGAATGTTTTATGGATCTACCCCTCCTCCTAATTCTGAATGCGTTAGTTGTCCCCCATACAAATATAACCTTCTGCATACGGTAACAATTTTAGTTAAGCAATGGATCAAAACAGAAAAAAATATTGAGATTTTTCAACTACACTTGAAATGACAAGAGTCAAAATACCATTAAGAAATCAATTCGATAGCTCTGTTAATGTTCAAGTGTGTTTTTGACTACATTTTAAGAAATACACCATATTCTATGGTGTATACACCATAGAATATGTAGAATATGGTGTACACCATAGAATATAACAACTTTAAGTTTTTGTCCTTACCATGGGTCTTCAGCACCTAGTTTTTCCTTTGTTGTAAACAGCTCAATGCAATCTTTTAATTTCACAAAAGGCTTTTTGGGAGGCTTATATTCCACACTTTCATGTTTTTCAAAATCCTAAAGAGAAGTATTTCTTGAGTTAAGAGAACAAATGAAACAAAACTCATTTTAGTGATGTCGTCTTACTATAAACAGTAACTACAAAGCTCCTATATATGGAAAAACTGATCAGAAACCATTCAAGAAAAAAGTTTTCACAGCTTCAGATTTACTACCAAATTAGTAAGCCTGAGATTTGCTAATTATTATATGTGTAAATTAGGTTTATTTACGACAACATATTTACTACAAAAAATGTGAAAAAAATATACTAACTTCTTCTTTTGAAGACATAAAGTATCTTGGGTCACATTAATTAAGCTGTCTTTTTCACATTTAAGTTTTATTAGTTCTGGAAAGTGGAGCAACATAAACAGCTTACCTCTGCTGCACTATCATCAAAGTATCTCTTCTTCAATTCAGGATCCCAATCCAAAGCAAGGAAAGATCTTTCTGAGATTAAAAATATGTTTTCTCTTAATATTATTTCTTGCTTTACATGAAACAGTATTAACTTTGGGCACTCTTCAAAATGGATTAAACAATGCTAGCATGAATTTAAGGTGAAAAATTGAAGTACGCACAATTTCTGCATTTCTAAGAGTTAATGACAATAACAAATTAATTATTTATACAGAATTTACTACTGGAAAAAAAAGATATATCAAATAGCACACGGAGAGAATGAACTACTATTCTATGGAAGCGGAGTCAGAAAAAAAGTATCAGAATGAAACGTTGCACAACCTGTTCCCCATGACTTACCGTCAAGCCTAGGTTGCCTATCATCAAATCTAATATGCCTGGTATCATCTTTGATGTAGTTTATGTCAGTATTGCCTAAATTATTGAACTGGAATGTAAACAATCGCTTTTTGTGTCCTGTGAGTGGTTGACCTTTGCAAGTATCCTCAGAACATAATCCATTTTCAGAGTCATTGTCACCTCCAACTGAGTCTTCTGACTGGCTGTTTTCATTCTCTGAAGGAAGTTCCTGATCCTGGCTGGATTCATCATCTTGTTCATCTGTTTCCATTTCACCTGAAACAATTGGAAAAAAAAGGAGAAAGAAATGAGGTGGAGTACATAACTGAAACACACTACAGAATTAACTTCAGTTTCAAATTTAACACAAACTACTAAACAAGTTTAGCTATTCCAGTCTTACTTGGCGATCCCTCTTCATGTATTCCATTTGGGCCATTACCATTGATACCATGGTCCTTACAGCAATGTAGGGATCCTTCAGTGTCTTCAGTTTCAGTACATGTTTTTACATATCGGCTAAATGTTAAGAAATTAAAGCAACAGTTAGAATCAATGGATTTTAAATATTTACATTGTTCAAGCCAGATAATTAATGGTTACAGCAAGTCCTTTCTAATGTACTGTATTTCTGCACTGCTTTCTGATTTATACAGAATAAATAGTTTTATTGCCTAACGTGTCTACTGTTACAGGCATATCTGAAATTCTGCTTGTCTATAATCTTATGTTTACTGGATTTTCTGCAACTTGATTCTTGGTATTAGTCTCTATTTGTCCAGAAATCACTCAACTGTTCGCTAACCATATTTTTTACACAAAAAAATACAGGGGTTTACATACAGAGAAAGTTACATCAACATAAAATGAAGCATAAATTTCAATTAGAGGTTATGATTCTAATTTCTTCCACATAATGACATGTACTACAGTGTAGTTTCAGAAAAGTGTCAACCATGTAGTTTTAAAACATAAATTAGTATATAAACTTGTATAGCAGATACAATAACAATACAATAAGGAAATATAACCATAGCAGAATAATTGGCAAAACATTTCCGTTTTACGAAGCTTTAACAAACAGAATTAATTCCCCATAACTGACAATACAGATTGACTCTCTACTGTCTTCTCAAGTAATTTTGGGATGAGGTGATGCTAACAAAAAAAAATCAAATTGAAATCCACACTAGTTCACATCTCAAGTGGCTAAAATTTTAGATTTAATGTATTTAGCAGAAAGCAAATAAAAGACTAAGTACTCAAACATAACCAGTTTGTTAGCAATGCATGTAAAAATAAGTGCCTACTGATTCCAACTATTAGCTTTATTCATAACAAACACATTTTTCTTTAAACAATAACCTTACCACATTCTTAGCAGCAGCAGGTTATACAGTTTATCTTCAGTATTGTTTCTAGGCACTGCTATGAGAAAAGGTTGACCAAACAGTGAAGAACCACTATGGCTGTAGCTAGTGTGCCTGCACTTTTCCCTTAAACAAACAGGAATTATAACTTGTTCTGTATCTTCTGTTCTATTGATAGCAATTTCAAATCTAAAAGAAAGACAATCAGAAATACAAAGCACAACTGTCATTTAAAAGGCAACAAAGGGAAAAAAAATTATAAACCCCACAAAATTTGTCTTTATCTTATGTCTAGGTTTTAATCTTTTGCAAATAACTAAAACTGCAGAGAGATGCGAAGCACATTATCTGTACTTACACATAAATGTCATCACGTTCCATAATACTACTTAGATTTTCATCCATGCCAAATATCCTGTGGAACCTGTGATTGTATATATCAGTAACAATCATCTAAAAAGAAATGGAGTATACATCATTAAATCAGGTCCAATATGAGTTAACCTGTTCATTGTTGTGTTTCATATAAGAAATCACTCTTACCTTATCTGCAGCAACACCAGACAAAGCTGACAATGCTGTGCAAAGATCCAATATATTTCCAATTTTGGGAACAACTACTTTGTACTAAAAAAAAAATAAAATGTCACTTTAGTTTCTTAAGGGAACAAATATGCATGAGAAAAAAAGCCAAACTACTTATCACTTATTCAGCATACTTCACGTACTTCTTTCAGATTCTTGAACTTAAGGTGTAAAGTATGTAAATCAACTAACACAAATTCCGAAAGCTGCTGAAAACGTAGTAGTAACCTTTACAACTTTACTCATACAAACACACACACTTTGAAAACTATGTTTATTAGTTTACACAATGCTTTTTTTTTTGGATGTTATTTTACTTTCTCCGTAAGAAGACTAGCAGCATTATTTACTTAAGATTTATATATTCCAACAGCACCTACTTATTTAAGTATTTAAATAGTATGTATGCTATTGATTAGATTCTTAAATTTGGAATACAACACAAGCTGTTTATAAAGTATTACTGGGGAAAAAAGCAATGGATAAAGACCGAAAAGGCAGGCAATGGATAAAGACCGAATTCTAATTTCACATGCAGAGAGAGAACCTGATGATTAACAGTCAAAGAAAACCTCCCTGTGACTTCCCTTACTGCAGTACACCTGCAGTTTGTAAGGAAACTCCACACAGGACTATTACCTGTTATTTGCATGATAAATAAAGACAGGGTTAATTAGAAATAAGGTATTATAACTTTGTAATTAATTGCTAAGTACAGCATGTGCTTGGTATCTCTTGAAGTCTTATAGCTATTTAGACTCACAAAAGCTCTACTGAACTCGTACGCTTCCCAAACACTATTCATTCCTGCATAACCATCTCACATGTCATACAGGGTCATCTTCAACTACTGTGTGTCCCTTGTGCAAACCTGTTCTCACAAATAATTAAATTTCTAGCAGGCTCACCTGCCACTATTTAATATATGTCCCTTTATCTTTGACTTCCCTAACTGAGACTGCCTTTGAGAACACTCCCCCTTTCACCCGCCCCTTTCCTTCTTATAGTACTCTGATTTCAGGTGTTAAAGCCTTTTTGCAAGTCTGCCTAACTGCCCGTGTCTTATTTATTTCACCTATCCTTGCTTACCCCATAAGGTACAGCTAGAAACATTTAATCATGATTTTGTTACCATAACCCGTGTACATTGTTTCTCGCCATTCTAACGTGTATAATACCATCCTTCCTAAAAAAGGCAAGAGATACTCTTTACAAAGAAATCTCATCTGATTTTTTTTTTCTTTTGACTATTAAATGATAGCACAGAAGAATTCAGGACTAGCTGATCTATTTAGTCATGGGTTTTTTTGTATCAATTACTACCAATATTTGTGTTTTGAGGCTAAGAAACTGAGGAATTAAGTCTGGATTAAGCGTATAAATACTTTTTTTTTTAACCATACAAATTCATTATAGCAACACTAAAATAAAAAATGAGGACAGCATACATTTTAAAGACTAAGAAGCCTTATTAACATAACCATAAAACGATTACCAGTATCTTCCTTGAAACCGATAGAAATAGAAGAAGGTATGTATAGTCTTCCTTAAGCTAAGTGGGACTTCAGAATACATACCAGAAAACTAAAGCTTGTTGGATTTGCTATTGTAGTTACAAACTTAAAAAATGTAAAGGAACTCAGGTTCATTGTTAATGCCATATGAATCAGGAGTTTTGTACATAAACTAGGAGGCTTACCTGCATAGGCTTTGCAAGTGGATCCGTTCTAACTAAATAAACTTCCAAAGTGCGTTCTTTTTTCATGGGTAATGGAAGTGTCAAGTAACAAAAGGGATCAAAGGTTACAGATATCTTAGCACATTCAGGACAAACTAGGGTGGATTTAAAAAGGCCATGAAATATATCTACAATGATGGAATCATTTCTTTTTAAATGGTTTTCCCAGGCTTCTTCAGCGACCACCTGTAATTAAAGCATGACCTGGGTTATGATAAAGTAGTAGGAAATGAACAGTGAGAGTTATTATTAAGAGCACTTGATAGTGCTCTTATGACAAAGTAGTAGGAAATGAATAGTGAGAGTTATTATTAAGAGCACTTGATAGAACGTTCTAGGTTACCACCTAAACATAGAAATCTCAATCCCTGTAAAATCTGTAACCACTATCAGGTTAAAAGATGTATGCTTTTCCTAGGATGGAGATTCTGTCGGTCTTATTACGTAGTCTGAGAGAGACTTCAAGTGGCTTGGGGCAAGTCAAAAGCAAAATAAAACTAAAAATTCCATCTGAAGTAACTCATACTTGTAACAAAAGAAATTATCTATGTGCTTGTAGCTCAATGCTAGAAGAGTTTCCCTAAAGTAAGAGAACTGGAGAGAGACAGAACACTGCATCCTGTAGATACAAGAATAAAAACCCAACAGAATGGAAATTGTTTCTCCAACTGAATTCAGCACTGAATTGAACAAAAAGGTCTTAACAAAGCCTTAACACCCTTCTACCCACCCAATTATCTTCCAAATCAACAGAAATTTACACAGGTACTTGAACAAAATCTCCATTTTAAGATTTTGGCTTATTTTCTCAAATCTCTTCCAGAAAAAGCAACACGTGATCAGTGACCCAACCCTTCAGTACACAATCACGTAGAAGTATCTTGCAATGTACAGCCTTGGATAAAATGAAGATGATCAACACCAAAACCACTACCTTGTCTGGTCTCCCATCGGCATCCTTTAACTGAATGTAAGGCTTTTTTCTAATTCGATTCAAATCCTCATGTAATCCATCCAAGAGAAAAGCCAGTAGCTCTTGACAATCTTGTTGCTGATAACCAGAAAATTGTGGGGCAAATCGTCCCACTTGTGTCTAAAAAAATAAATACAAATACTTCTGGTACCTTAATTAATGCTGAGATGCTACAGCAAAAAGCTGAAAAGGTAAAACTTACAAAGTTATAAAAGATAAGCTTTTCAATGGAGACAGGAAGCCAAAACCAATTCTCAAAGACCAAAGCACAAGGACAGTTGACACTTATTTAAATATACATCCAAGTGTTTTAACAGTTAAATGAACGGACTGCATACTGATGAATATTACTTCAAATTCTTATTCTTGCATATTTCCATAAGTTTTGTATACTTAAACTACAAAACCAAAACTGACAATGTACATTCAGGTTATATTCCCTACTGACCTTAAATGCTCTTGGGGTAACATAGCTGTATTTTCCTGACCACATTTGCTTGATAAGCTCTGCATAAGATTTTGCTATTTCACCTCGCATTCCTAAAGGATTGTCAAAATTCAGCTCTTCTTGGTATTTATCATTGAGGAAGTATTCTGTAAGAGGAGGTGTGTTGCTCAGACACTGTAAACAGAAATACAGAATTTTTAGAACAGTGATTTGAATTAGTTCAAACAAAGAATGTTTGAACTTCCTTAAAGCAGACATGAACAATACTTTAAACTGTAACACCTAGTGCCCGCAAAAAAAAAAAAAAAAAGGAAAAAAAAAAGTCTTTCCCAGAAACAAATAATGGTTTTAAACCAAGACTGGCTGCAGCTATCATTACAAGTTACGCACAGATAATGTTTTTCAAAAGCTTTACATCAGAATTTATCAGACATAGATAGTAGTCCAGCCAACCACAGTGTGACAACACTATTTGTATCGAGGTTTAAAACAAACAAAAGGTGGTTCTTGATACAGGAATAATAGCTTCACGAAACTCCTTGCTGAAAGTTGTTATAGATGCATAAAGTTTACACAGTCTCAAGGAGAGACTGCATAGGTAATCAGAAGAGAGAGCCAATACAGCTTACTAAATCAAATTACACCACATTCAGAACAGCATGTGAGCATAAAATAGTTGAAAACAGAGAGATTTTTTTGGCAGGGGCAAGAAGAAGAGAAGGTAAGGATGTTTGCCCTCCTCCTCCTCTTTCTAGGCATCTGCTTACGGAAGCTGTTGAAGACAGCAATCTATGCTAGATGGACTAGACTTTGTATCAGAATTGGCGCAGCTTTCCCTATGCTATTTTAAATTTGGTGAAGCTGTTTAAAGCTGAAATTAGTTCAAGGAAAGTAAGGGCCTTGGTTTAGACTGGGATAATGACATCCTCTCTACAAGTTTGTCCCTTCTGAGAGCACTTAGATATAGGAGGATGTAACTGCTGAAGTATGTCTTACAATTTTAGGAAACCATTCTGAATTTTAGTGTGCTACTCCACACACTCCTATAAACAAAAACTTTCCCATCATTCGGAAATTATTCCCATGCCACGCCTTAGCATATAGATTTAGCAAAGTTTCTTCATTAAATATTATAAGCTTTTCTGCATTCTTTCCTCTATTAAAGATTCCAAGAAAGGTCAGATATTCATCAGTCTCATCTGCGTCTCTGCAAACAAGGGGAAGAACAAAAATTTCAGCTCCACATACGCTACTGCATAAGATGCAACAATTGAGACAGGAAGAATTACAACTTTATTGAGCTGGGCAGAAAAAAGTTATTCCTACTTCTGCCTGTCATAACTGTGTACTATTACAAAGCAAACTGAAAGCTGTAGAGAGGTGAGTTTCATGCCCATATCGCACTCCTTCCTTTCTCTCCCATCCCACCTAAAGCTTTCATGAGCTGTCAACGCTGCAAAAAACTCCTGATATTACAGGGCCTTTTGGGCACTGAGGGTTGAAGAAAGCTCATTTTTCTTGTTACATGGCAAATCGCTTTTCTTCCTAGCAGTAGTGATCCCAATCCCCGCTACCTCACAGATCTGTGTTGTAGTTCTGAACTGATCCATGCAGCTAAGAGGAGAAACCCCTGGTCCCTCAAATCCATACAGAAGTGGTCAGAGTTTTCAGAAGAAACTAATGAGAAATAAAACTACACTTTAGGTAAAACTGCATGTTCAATTTGAGTGATGTGACAAATCCTACTGAAATCCTACTGCCCAAAGAAGTCCTGCCCCTTCTCTGCTGACTCTCTCTGATTGCACAACAAACATATTAATCTCACTAAAACTGTCAAAAAACTATTTTTCCTCCCCACTTTTCTTCTGGATTATTCTTTGGTCTGGTTTAGGAGATCAAATCTGTTCAGCTGGTCAGCTTAGTGTGAGAAATGTCCACAAGAAGGAACTAAACAATGCAAAAAAGGTAAATTTTTCTATAGGTTCTTAGTCAAGCACTACATGATGTGCTGACAGTGTGTTGTTTCACCAAAACACTAATTTATCTTCTCCTGGTTTTCACCTGATAAATCATTTTGTCACATTCTCAGAATATAATTTGTATTTGTATGTGTAAGTCAGGAAGATCACTACAGATAATTTCCCTTTTTCCTTATAACAATGTCCACATTCCACCATAAGATGACACTGATGGTAGTACTGGAATGCACAAGTATCTATCTGAACATGGCAATTTCTGAGCTAAATATTTACAATGTTGAAAAGGGTGACAATGGAGAACGATTTAAGATTCTGATTAAAGTCACAGGGGAAAAAGAATCCAGAAGCCTGGATGCTTGGAGCCTTTGAAAGGAAGCCTACATTCTTATTTTCTCATGATATGATACGCTGTAGGTTATCAAGGAAGCCTAATGGAAAGCATCGATAAAAAAACCAAACCAAACCAGAACAATTAGAACCAAGACAAGCTACCAGACAGCAAAGTCATCAGATTTATGTGCCCTGTTCAACCTAGTGGTTTGGTGGGTTTTGTTTGTTTGCTTTAAAACACAGACATAGGTAAACTAACAAGTATACCCACAGATGAAGAACAACAGAAACCAAAAAAGCTAAACAAATACAGTAAAACTACAGAAAACAGTTTGTGAACTAAAGAGGTAACAGAACGGCACTTCATTTCAGGTACTGCAGCCTCCACAAGTTTCCTTTAACCAACAAAAACTTGTGTGAAGTGCTCAGTTTCTGAACCTAAACTGGTCATTTAGCTAAATGACCATGGGAAAAGATGGAACAGGATGTATAAACTCCAAGAGCAACTATGAGACAAACCACAGAAGAGAAGGATCAGTCTTCAGCATAACAAAGGTTAACACTGAAGTTAAAGTGCCATGTAACATACTAATTTCTTGGGAAAAAAGGAAAAAAAAAATCTGTAGCAGAGCAATCTGTGGATAACAGCTATTTATGTCATTAGTATCAAAAGATCATAATCAGCCTCCAAGAAAATGAGTCGAACAACGCGACTGGCTGAAACAACGCTACACACAATTTGTGCGCCAACTGTATTATGCAACACTGCATGCATTGTTGATGTACATACATATGCATACAAACGCCCTGAAGTACTGAGTCAAAAAGGAAACAATCACCCATAAAGACACATACAGTCTACTGTTTAGAGAGCACAGCTGTAACCAGTAGGGTGTGGGAGGTGTTAAGATGCACAGGAAAATGAACAATGAATAATCTTCATTTTTAGTTCCTTATATATTCCTCAATGCTGTAGCCTCACTGGAATACTGTAATTTCAATACTAGACTATGATCTTGTTTAGCAAGTTTACCTGTCCTATGAAACCCTCGTATAGGTGGAAATATAATAATAAAATTACTCTCTAATTACCTCTCTAAATCCACATAATTTAAGTATGGGAAAACTCTGATGAAAAAAGTTCGCAAGGATTCTTGATTGTTTAATTGATAAAAAGAAAATAAAATAAATGAAGAAAGAGGGCCACCAAGACAGTCTGTGGCTTGGGAGCATTTGCCCTGTGAGGAAAGACTGAAGCATTGGGGCTTGTTCAGCCTCCAGAAGAGGCTGTTTCAGGCAGACCCATCAACAGTCTTCTAGTACCTACAGGGAAGTTAACGAGAAGATGGATCCAGGCTCTTCACAGCGGTGCACAGTGGGATGACAACAAACAACAGGTGTAAGTCGAAACAAGAGAGGTTAAGGATATAAGGAAAAAAGTTTTCACTGTAAGAACAGTCAAGCAGTGGAGCTGAGAGGCTTTGCAGCCTTCTTGGAGGTTTTCAAGACCCAACTGGATAAAGCCCTGAGCAACCTGGTCTGACCTCAGAGCTGATCTTCCTTTGAGCGGGAGGCTGCATTAGGAACCTCCTGAAGTTCCTTCTAACCCAAATTAGCCTATGATCCCAAACAAGGAAACATTTATTCACGTCCCATAGGGGTTATTCCATAGAAATAATGATAAAAATAAAATTTCAAAGCAATGAAAACATTACCTATTATGCCAGTGAACCGGAGAAATGAGAAGCAGACAATACAATCATGAAATTGAGCTGAAAACTGAGTGTTCTTCTAAGTATCACGGTTCTTCAGCTGTCCTACTTAATAACAATTTTAAGCAAGGAACATTGAAATTTCATATTTCAGCCTTCTAATAAAAGAGCGAGACCTGATTCACTGAAAGAAAGATCTAAGTAATAGGAGGAAAAAATGAATTACTTTACACCTGTCTATCCTGCTTCTGCCTGAAGCACTTAGTGTCAGGCACGGTGAAAAGTGCTCAGCTAATACACCCCTTACCACAAACTCTGTATACCTAGGGCAACTGAAACAGAGCACTAAGAACTTAATCATTTCAGGTTTTGGTGAAAGATGTTATGTTTTGTCAGGATAAACTCACAGCCATAAATAATCGTAGAGCAAATGCGAATCAGCTTTATAAAGAAAGAAAACTGCTGAAATATCCCATTGCAAAGCTCTCAACAGTTGTTGTTTTTTTTTTTTTTTCAATTAAAACATTTACTTTCATTCTTCTCCTATTTTTGAATCACAAAGTGAAAACTTTGCTAACTCTCAGGTTTTCACTGCAAAAGAAAAAGAAAAAAACCCCACATTTCCCACAGAGCTCTAATCACTAATATCCCACCAAAAAGGCAAAGCAATACTTAGGCAACATCCACAGGTGGCAGCACAGCAATGCTTCAGGAGATTCATATTTTTCTATTTTGTTTTTTTCAGGTTGTAACATAGCCGTGTACATAACTGTATGTGAATAAAACATCTACTTGCCAAATACTCTTTGGGGTTATGGGGTTTTTTTTGTTTGTTTTTGCTTGATATGGTTTGAAGCATTCACAATAATGTCTTCATAAAGTCCACAAGCTCCCTTTCATCTTTCCTGTTTCACTTAATGCTCAGATCTGCAAAAGCAGACATTTAGGCTTTAATAATAAAAATCAAGCCTTAGGTGTTAGCACTGAAGTAAATTAAAATCAGATACATGGAATACCCCTTCAAAAGAATCTGAAAAATATATACAAAAGTTCCAATACAACCAAAATATGAAATAATATTGAATTATTGCTTGTTAAAATAAGAAATCGTGGTAAGACAACAGCACTTGGTGAAAAATACAATGGTGTCTTAACCTTCTTGGTTACTCCTACTCAGCTTGCAGCTGTTTGTGGTACCACAGAGGATCTTCCCCATCTCTTCACCATCCCTCCTGTAGTTGTCTTAAGCTTCTTAACACTGAGAGCCCCTACTTGGAAAAGCAAAAGTCTCTTTACAATAATCACTCTGAAGGATGAAGAGGCAAGCTTAACCTTACCTATAGATTGAAGAAGTAGTAATGAACTTGCAACAAAATTTAAGAAACTGCCAGGATTACCACATTGCTACCTAGTGCAGTTCCAGGACAAAAACCTTCAGACAAGTTTGTCAGACTCTGGACAGCAAGATGTGCTGGCCCTCTGCTTCAAGGAATGCTGATAACATTTCTGATGCAAATCATCTTCACTGTACATGAGACAAGAGCAAAGAGAAGCTGTCTGAGAACTGAAGTGGTTTCTGAAGCAGAAATGGCTCTTATGTGAACACTAAGGGGCCTCAATCCTGTCTGGGAAGGATGAAGATCTGAGAAAAGTGGTAATCAGCAAGACAGTGGATAAATTAAACTTGCTTCTGTTGAAGGAAGCTACATTGATTACACTTAGTATTGACTGAATGGAAGCAGAGCACTCTGAACAGAAAGCAGAGCTTTTGGAATATGGAAGATGAACGGACTGGAAACTTTGAGTGTAAAATTCTATAGCAAACTATTTTGTTTAAATAAAACAGACTTATCCTGATAAACAACCTTGTGCTGACATAATTGTAAAGGAAGACACCTGAAGAAGATAAATAAGCTAGAGTAGGCAACCAAAACAGCTCAGAGAATCACAAAATAGTTGAGGTTGGAAGGCATCTCTGGGCCTTGTCTGGTCCAATCCCCTGCTCAAAGAAGGGTCCCCTAGAGCAGGTTGCTTCGGATTGTGTACAGTCATGTTTTGCGCATCTCCAAGGATGGAGGCTCCACAGCCTCCCTGGAAAACCTATTTCGCCATTTGATAAAATCTCTTATATTTAAATGGAATTGCCTGTGGTTTAGTTTGTGCCTGTTGCCTCTTCTTTCAGTGGGCAACACTGAGAAGAGTTTGGCTCAGTTTTCTTTACTATCCCTCACCAGGTATTTCTACACAATGATAAAATTGCTCTGGAGCCTTCTCTTCTCCAAGCTGAACAGTCCCAGCTCTCTCAGGCTTTCCGTGTAGGTAAGATGATGCAATCTGAATTGATCACCTTTGTGGCCTCTCACTGGACCTGCTGCACTATGTCCCTGTCTCTCTGGTGCTGGGGAGGCCAGAAGGGAAGCCAGCACTGCAGGGGTGTCTCACCAGCGCTGAGTGGAGGGGAAGGATCACCCCTCTCAGCCTGCTAGCAATACCCAGGAGGCTGCTGGCTGCCTTGGCCACAAGGGCACATTGCTGGCTCATGTTCAGCTTTTTGTCTGCTGGTCGGCCAAACTGCTTTTCATCCAGTTGCTCGCTCCCTACCCCAGTGTGTACCGGTGCCTGGCGTTTTTCTTTCCTAGGTGCAGGCCTTTGCATTTCCTTTGATTGAACTTCATGAGGTTCCTGTCTGCCCATTTCACCAGCCTGTTGAGGTCCCTCTGAATAGCAGCACACCCATCTGGTGTAACAGTCCCTCCTTCCAGTTCTGTGTTGTCTCTAATCTTGCTGAGCGTGCACTCTCCTCCATCATCCAGGTAACAGCCTAGAGCATTCCTAAGCAGAATTCCTTAGCCTGCCAACTACATACTATCTGTGCCCATCCCTTTGTTGCTTCAGAGATTAGACAAGATCAAAAAGTGCTTTGGCCACAGGCATTACACTTCTAGCCAGAACAACCCAAGGTTACTCCGATAACAGAAGGTAACATTTCACTGCACTAATATGCCATTAATTTATGCTTTCAGTGTGATCGGGGAAAAAAGGTAGAAGTCAAGTGGTGGCAAGATGAAGACGACAATAGAACTTGCAGTCTGTGAGACCTTAGTGTGTTAAGAACACGACATACTTCCACTAAAAAGCACTTTCATGGATTTCTTAGATAACATTAAACTCTGTACAATACTTACTTTGAGAGATACAGTAGGTGGAACTGAAAGATAGTTTACACTTCCTTGCTAAGAAAGCTGCTAAATAATGCATTTGAAAAAGCACACCATCAAGGACATACTAAAGGTACCATGCCAAACTAAAAGCTGCACTGCTCAATAAACCCCTAATTTTCTTACTGTCTTGTGAATCAGCAAAATTGTATTTATTAATTTGCACTACAGTTTCTCAGAACTTATTTGAACACTTGATTCCCTAGGTATAACTGAAAAGCAATCAAGTCAAAGCTGACATGATTTAGAATGAAGACCTAGAATTAAATCCAGTTAACATCACTTTACAGTTTTTTGACTTGAGACTGCTTTGATTACATAACTCAAGTTTCAGAACTAAATAAAACCAAATTAAACTACTAGTTCTTTCTGATCATTAATTAATGTACCACTGCAGCTTCCACTTAAAAGGACTAAGATTTTTTTTGTCTTGGTAAGAGTAGGTATACCAGTATTTCTCTTGCAATCATAACAAAGAAACAAGCTATTACATTCCCGTAAAATACGTCATCCGTGAAATAGCAGCTATTCAAAAGGCAAAGCTCAAAGGGAAATATGTTCAAAGGTTCCCTGCATGTTCACTTGTGCACTAGAAGTACATAGTAATTAGTTGGAAATAAAGGCCCAGTAATGCACCAGTTATCTACTATTTGACACTTCAGCACTACAATCTACTCAAGCGCATCTCAAAATGAAAAAGTATTTTTCATGACATGCATGCATGGCAATCATTACAAAAAGCAAAGAATCCCACTTAAGGGTTCACTCATGTAGAATGCTGGTCAAATTTCTTTCTGATAATTGATCACAGTGCAAAACAGTATTATTTCCTCACTTTTAATCCTATCCTGCTACTTAATGTAGCCTTTTAATATTAGTTTCCAAACAAGTCAAAATATAACAAGATATTCATTTCCAAGTAACAGACAAGCTCATTTTATTCTAAAGTACATACCTGAATTGCTGAATTCATAAAACACGTATTCCCCAAGTTACTCAGGCCACATAGGCCTGGCTGCTCATTGTGTCTTCCTGGCTCTGAATAATCATAATTCTTATAAGCAGTATATGATGGGAGACAATAGTTTGAATTTTTCACACTGTAAAAAAACAAAACATCTTTCACAATGTAAACATGTACTCTATACTACTTTAATACATAAAAGTACTTTATAAGCTTAAATGATTAAAATTGTTAAAATAACTTCTGTGAACAAGAAAGGATTTAAAAGAAATATTTAACTTTGTTAATAACATCAATTTCAATTTAAAAGTCACCAAAATCTAATGTACTGCAATAATTGTAATTATTATATCCCTACCCCTTTTTGATAGGAGCAGCTTCACAGCTTACTCTATTCTTCATTGCTCCATCAAATTTAATACACTCAGACTTTAGACACCACCAGCAGCAATCAATCATTTACGTCCCTTTTGCATCCTGCTACTGCAAGAGTGAGGTCGGTGGGAATAGGAATGCAGAGTTACAGGTGAAAGCTGAGATTTCCAAGGCCACTGTGGCATAGCTGCCTCACTGCATCAGACAGTCTATTTATAGCCTCCCTGCTAGGACAGCACAATCCAGCATGCAAATGCAGGAAAGCCTTGAGAGGTAAAAGAATGCGCAAAATGCCTTGTAACAACTTCATTATAAATCGCTATGATGCATCTGTTTGGAGAAACTGGAGAAGACTGAAATAGGTAAATTGGTAAGATTTAAAGCAATTTGTTTCCAGATGAAATCATGCAAATACTAAATAAAGAATAACCCCCGAGACAGTAAAGTAAGCATATCCGAGAACATCAGAAAGGCAAAAGAATCTTGTCAGAGAATGCTCTGTAGTATTACAGATGTTAGAAAAAACAACCATCCAGAAAGGTTAAACTCTTTCTTAAACTATTTCAGGCACTGATCATAACGAAATCTGTGTGATAGTAGTTTTGGCTAAAGTTCAAAAGTATTTCTGCAGTCACTAAGCATTATTCACATTAGAAGCAACTTGAACAAAAATTTGGAAGTCAGTTGCTAAGAATGACAAGGAAAAATATGCAGAGAAAAGAATGAATCCTGATAAATAATTGCGATTTATAATTGTAAGAGTCTGAGGATGCAAGTGCCCAGTGGTACATTCCAGACATTATTCCTGAACAGTATCACACTCTTATATCCAACTGAATTCCAATTGTCCCCTCGGTGCACAATTACTCACTTTGCATGAATAACAGTTGTTTTGTTTTAATCACAAGATTTATTGAAAACTTTAAACAGAATGGGAAGAAAATTTCGCCCTCTTTTGACAGCCTCAGAAATCTGCACAGTTTATAGCTTCACTGTCCATAAAGCTGCTGTTCTCAAACTTTCACATCTGATAATTTCTTTTTAATAGTTGACTCTCCTCTCAGTCCTTCGTGTTCCATACACATGCATTTTCTCTGCTCTCCAGCTTGCCCCTAAACTAGCTACGTGGCATGGTGTTTACTGGTCACTCTCCATCAAAAATCCCCGTCAAGTTAGTTTTGCCTGTTAAGCTTAAGTTTAATTTAAATGCTTCACTCTAGTTTACACAAGATACTTTTTGAGCTCCAGGGCTCACATACCCTTCAAGCTTGCTTCTGTGGTCAATTCTTCCCCGTCATTAGTCCCCAGTTCACCCATGCATGACAGATCCCCAGGGAAAATTACCTTCCATCTCCCTTTGCACCTGCAATCCACCTACTGCAATTAACCCCAATTCCCTTAAGTTGGCAAGACTTAGTTCCTCCACAAAGAAAAAGCACAAGCTTGCCATTGGTGCTAATGCAGCCTCCACAATATAGCCAACTCCCTGACCCAGCTCAACAGTGCACACCACCAGTAGAAATGCACATGTACAGGGTACACAATAAACTTCCACTTTCAGCCCTGCTTGCTTCCTACTGCTTTCCTCACCTGACTCGAACGTTACACTTCCCTCATGGTTAACAGAAGAGAAATCTCTTTTGGAAATTTAGGAGATGGAGGGGTACTAAACAGATTCAATGTAATTTTCCTGGGGATTTTCACTTCTCTTCTTTTTCCTTCTCTGCAGCTTTCCTCCCTTCACAAACTGCCCCCTTAGGAGGGACGCTAGAAAGCTAGGAAATGCAACTGGAGTCCTTTGGCTATAGTGCATTCACGTGAAAGATGTCCTCAGATTAGCTGAGTAACATCACAACTTAATTCAAGATAATTGTAATGCAGAGAGATCTCCAGTGTTGGTTTGCTCTAAGGGACAAACTATCAGAGTTTACTTCTCAAAAGGGAAAGCCGTTTCTGAGGTCTTTCGTCTTTTGTACTAGCCCACAGAAATACATTTGAGGGGTTTAGAGAATATGGTTACAACACTCATTCTGTGAGCCAGGTCTATTAATTAATTTTTTCTTTCAGGTTTCTGTGATATTTTATCAAAACGTATCAAGCAAAATACAGTGCCTACTATGTGCAGGAAACTAGCAGATGTCTCTTTACAGCTTTATCAGTCTGCAAGCTTCACTTTTTCTGGAAGAATTATTTTTATTTAAATTACATTGTGCCTCTGCTTTTCATGCTTATGAGACTGGACAAAAAATAAAGTATTATTAAAAGTCAGTAGTACATGGTTAACAATGGAAAGCAAGCAAAGACGCTTCACTCAAACCGAAATGCCCTAGAAAAAGTAACTTGTGATAGCGCGTCCTGAACCTCCATTTGCTTTTCCTGCAAAATCTTCAGAAAGTTGCCTTTAACAAAGGAACAATGCATGGAAAAGCAGAGGAGCAGTATTAAAATGGGGCGCTCAAATAAGGGCAGTAGTAGAAAGAAAACACTGATGGCCCTTAGAAGAAATTGCTGCTCAATCAGTAAGGCAAGACTTGAAAAAATAAAACCATCTTCAGACCCTTGCACAGCTAGACAGGGTTCCTGAAGTAGTAAAAATGCTAAAGGGAGGTTTCCAAATGAGATTTTATTATCTGTAAATCTATAAATTTTGAGTTGCACGTGCCATATTCAAAGTGACTTACATATACTTTCTCTATCCTGCCTTTAAACCTCAAAGCAGCTTTCAGATGATGATGAATCCAGAGCACTCATTGTGTAGTTGGGAGTTCTGGGAAGTGTGGATTTGGAACAGCGAAGTTTGGAGAAGCATCACTAGCTTTGGAAGGGACACAATTTGACAGTGGAGTGCCATATGCCAACAACAGGTGCTGCAAAAGGAATCTGAGTTGCAAGAATGAGCCCAGAAAATTAAAAACTTGGACCACTTACTGAGCAACATAGTATTTCAACCACCTTAATGTACTGCCAATGTGTTTTTGTGACCAGCCACTTTAACAAACCCGTAATCGAGTTCCATCAATTTTTAGAGATGCCTTAAGCAGTAGGACAGGCCCATGTCACTACACAAAGAGTCTTTGTTATTGTTCATGCCATCATCCAGAGAGCAAAAGATAACGCTATAATCTATTTAAATAAAGTAAAAAAAAAAAAAAAGAATTCACCTTCCTTATAATATTTGCCTATGTGTCAGGTGCAACATGAAGAAACTGATTCTACAGGTGATGTAATTAACTTTTATTCTTCTTGAAATAAGCATATTGAAATATAACAAGCATGTGAAAAAAGCTGCTAACTGGCTGTCTTCTGACAAGCTGACACTACTGAATGATGAAGCAAGTCATTTTAGGAGCCTGAAACAATGGTTACAAATGATGAAAACAAAACAACTTTTCTCTTCATTCCCCAAGCAAAATCCCTATTTAAATGTTTTTAATCCCCTCCCCACATAATTTAAAAAAATACCATATGTGACATGAAATGTATTGCTTTATAACAGGAATAAACAGAAATTCCAGTAAGACCTAAATGATGCGTGTCTCTCCCTGCTCTTCTGAATCCACTAACACATATTATGCTAATCCTCCTATGTTACTCTTTCAACAAGATCACCTGTAAAGGCAAAAGAACATCAACGATCAATTATTTGGAATCCTCCATTCCATCAAATGCAAACTCACATTTACAGAAATGAAGGCTTTGGACCTGATAAAATTTGCGCAAGCTATTTCTATTATAACTAGCTCAACACACACTTAAGTATTTACCAATTTGAGGCTTACTATTGCTCAGAAAGCTTCCTGGATTAGACAAATATTACAGAAATGCGTACCATATAAAGAAACAGGCTACTTTCCAGAGTTTTAACATAATTTGTGCTCTATAGCCGAGATATAATAGTTGCAAAAACAGGCTTGCAATGACTAGCATTTATCACTATTACTACACACAACCTGTTGTTTGCTTTTTCTGCCTTACAAATCAGCTTTGTCAGCTAAAATTATCTTCAAAACAAATGTTGGTATTTCTTTTACAGTCACAGTATCTCATGTTCATATGGAGGAGCCAACGGATCCTGGAAAGCCACAAATGCATGATTTCGCTACTGTACTAAAGATAACGTGCAATGTAAGAGACAATAAAGCAGAAACATGAAAATAAATTCCAGGCAAAGCTGACATAAGTAGTTAATTAAGAAAGTAACGAAAAGAAGATAGCATTAACTAATGGAAAAGGACTGCTTTCTTAGACAAGGAGGTATTTGCAAGAAGAATAGAACACAGGAATAAACTGATCTTAACCCAGATATCATACAATTAAATACAGAGATATATCTTTCCATTTATCTTTTGAAGCCAAAAAATGCTTAATGCAACAGTATATATTTTAAGGTACAGTATATTAATGAATATGACTTCTCTATTACTGAACTAGTTAATCTTGAACATGTATTCTGACAGAAATGCTGCTGAAGTTCCTACTGTATTACACACTGTAGCGAATTATAAATTTGTGATTTCTTAAATATATTTTAAACTCACCATGATTGAATTACTGCATTGTAAGGATAACCATATACTTCTGCACTGAATATGCGCCTTAAATAACATCCAGATATACTATGTTTTGAGTTACAAGAGAAAAATGGCTGGTATTTCATAACACTATAGAGAACATGTACCTACTATCCAATTTACAGATGTTTAAGTTAAAGTTAAGGCATTTCAAGGGACCAATTCCTTATCAAAACTGAATTTTATACCACTTCCTTTTAAACACATATTTCTGTTGAAAATTATCAAATTAAAAAAAAAAAAAATGAAAAACAATCCCAGAATTTTACCTTAAGTTCTAAAAGCTCCCATTTTGGCTCTCAAATAAACCAAAGAATAAAAATAAAATCAGCTAAAGCAAGCAAAAAAACCCTATCTTCAAAACCTGCAAGACCTGGCAACAGGTTTCATAAGTGCTTCCTAAAAATAACTAGAGCATCACTAGGGAGAAGCTAACGTTAAAAAAAGAAAAAAAAAAAAAAGTAAAATACCAAAAAAAGGAAGGAAGCCTTGTTGGCATGATTGAAAATGGTGACTCCCTAGGAAAAAGTAACTGTTAAGCTTTGGTTTTGGTGTTACAACTCTTTTGCATAAGCAATGGGGGAAGGAGAGATTAGTTCTCAGGTGGAGGCCCAGCTCTGGTCAAGTAATTTTTCACACAATCATAGATACAAAGTACTTTTTATTTACTACACATTCACACACAGAGTACAATAGACTGCAGTTAAATACATGGATTTCAACTGTTTAACAGTGAGAGTTGGGGCTACTCACAATTGGTAGAAGCACAAGTGACACTTCACCCCTTAGGAAAAATCACTTCTGATAAATGCAGTATTTAACTGGAAGATATTGTATAAGATATTTAATATTTATGTCACCTTTTTAATATTTAACATCTTCATGTTTGATCACAAAATACATGTTTGGAAAAATATTTTGAATTTGAATGAATTGTAAGAATAAGCCTCTTCAATTTCCCCCAGCTTGCATTAAAGATGAGTGCTCTCTGGTTTCAAGCATTTGAAAGATGCTCCATTATCTGTTAAAGTGAAATAATTCCATGTTTTTCTATATTCACCAACTTTTTTACAGTTGTGTTCAACAAAAAAAGTTTACACACAAAGTTGGCCACCGGAATATGAAAGCTCTTCTTTTAGAGTTTTATCATAATCTTTATTAAACTTCTAATTTGGAATATAAAGGAGAAAACCCTTAAAAGTAAGAAGCCTCTTTTACTAAGCTGCTGTTCATTCAAGCACACCTATCGGACTGCTCTCTCTCAAATCTTCTAGCATTAAGACACAGAAGTTAAGTTGCTGATAATTAATCAATGGCTACAATCACTATGACAACTATTATAGCTAAAACAATTCAGCTGTAGTGGTCTCAAATCACTGTGTGATATCACATATGCTGCTCTAATACCTTAGCATCAATAAATAAAGGAAAACCTGGCCACCAGAAATGTAAGTACTTTATACTTCTTTTGTTGTCCATCTAAATTCAGGCAGGATAATAACAACAACAACAACGTATTTTTAGCATGATAAACTCTAAATGAAGTCTTTATATACTTTCTTACAATGGTCAACATTCTGTTTAGTGTCTATTCTACTAAGGACTAAGAGTTACCAAACACCTTTAACTGCCTTTCATTTCCTAATATCATGCTTTACAATACCTACAATATGAAATAGTGACCAGTGACAATTCAAAATACTACAAAACAAACCAAAATCCTTAAGGTAGGAGTTACAAAACATCAAAATTTATTTATGTCACACTGGGGTGAGTAAAATAAATAATGTTTTAAGGTACATTGCTTACTTTCTGTTGTTCATGTTGTTATAATTATTTGATAGAGATGGAGAGATCTTTGGTAAAGTTGAAAAATTGGATGCACCTGGGGACCTTTAAAAATATGAAAATGATAAATTAGATAAAAATGCTGAGATATTAAAAACTATGAAAGAGAGCTAATAAATGAACAATGCATATAAACAAGCATGGAAAATAAATATTTTGTAAAAAGTGGGCAAAGCACTAAAAATACCCAGGACATGCAGCCCTTGGAATCCACCTTTTAAAACTTGAAATGTTTCACAGTGCTTTAAACTTTCATATCATGTTGAAGAAACAGAGCTATTAAAAACAAAAAGCAAGCAAGCAAACAACAAAAAAATATCACAGACAACTGTGCTAAAAAGATTATTTTCAGGTTATAGTATGACTATAGATATTTTGATGTTCTAAAACCTAGAATGTAAAGTTTCTAATGTGGAAGTTTTATGAATTTTTCATTTAACCATATAGGGACGAGATACAAAAATGATTAAGATACATACTTCAAGGTTAGTTTAAAAGCAGTATGAAAGCGTTTAATTAAATTGTCTTATTAATACTGTTAAAAAAAATCCAGGATATTACGCACAATACTAAATAACCTTTAAAAACCTTTTTTTGCCAAAAGTAACAGCATTATCACTCACCCCCATTGTTTAAGATTATTTTTAAATATAAGAATACTGATCATTTTAATCACAAAGGCCCTCTGAATGTAACAATTAAATACAATACACAACTGTTTTGCAGTGTATTTTGCTTTTTCTGATCAAATCTTAGATAACCATGGAAAAGGCTCTCTATACTCAAAGGAACTGAGGCACCTTCATGTTTTGCCGTCCCTATGCAACTCCAACTGGTTTGCAAAAAGCTCCAGCTGTCCTTGGAAAGCGTTGAAATACATATCACAATATTAAGATAAGAAAATCTGCATGCTCAGGATTTTTTTTAAGCACATTTCAAGAATTAAACTCTGCAAGAAGATAAACATTTTTACACAGGGAATTTTCCCATGTATATTCATATAATCATTTAGGTTGGAAAAGACCTTTAAGACCATCAAGTCCAACCGTTAACCTAACACTGCCAAGTCCACCACTAAACCATGTCCCTAAGTGCCACATCTACTCTCTTAAAATACCACCAGGGATGGTGACTCAACCACTTCCCTGGCCAGCCTGTTCCAAATGCCTGCCAACCCCTTCAGCGAAGACATTTCCTAATATCCAATTTAAACCTGCCCTGGTGCAACTTAAGGCTGTTTCCTCTTGTCATATCGCTTGTTACTTGGGAAAAGAGACCAATGCCCACCTTGTTAAGACTTCCTTTCAGGTAGTTGTAGAGAGTGATAGGGTGTCCCCTCAGCCTTCTTTTCTCCAGGCTAAACAACTCCAGTTCCCTCAGCCACGCCTCATAAGACTTGTGCTCTAGACCCTTCACAAGCTTGTTGCCCTTCTTTGGATGTGCTCCAGCACCTCAATGTCTTTCTTGTAGTGAGGGGTCGAAAACTGAACACAGTACTCGAGGTGCAGCCTCACCAGTGCCATGTACAGAGGGGATGATCACTTCCCTAGTTCTGCTGGCCACACTATTTCTGATGCGATCCAGGATACTGTTGGCCTTCTTGGCCACCTGGGCACACTGCTGGCTGATATGCAGCCAGGTATTGACCCCCACACCCAGGTCTCTTTCTGTTGGCAGCTTTCCATCCACACTTCCCCAAGCCCATAGTGCTGCATGGCGCTGTTGTGACCCAAGTGCAGGACCCGGCACTTGGCCTTGTTGAGCCTCATACAATTGGTCTCGGCCCATCAATCCAGCCTGCCCAGACCCCTCTGGAGAGCCTTCCTACCCTCAAGCAGGTTAACACTCCCACCCAAATTGGTGTTGTCTACGAACTTACTGAGGGTGCACTCAATCCCCTCGTCCAAATCTTTGATAAACATATTAAACAGAACTGGCTCCAATACTGAGCCCTGGGGAACACCACATTGTGACTACCCACTGATATTTAAAAATATCAGTGATATTTATTTTCAACTTTTTATCAATAAACCTTTTCCAAAAGAAAAGATCTATCACCATGTGAAGAAAATGTTATTTAGTTTTTCAAATATTCTGACTAACATTCATAAAGCTTTCCTGTAGATTTTATCAATCTAAATCCTCCTCTTTGAACATTATCTTCAAAGAAGTAAAATACACAGACTGTGTCCACAAGAAAGGTATAAAATTGAAGTTTAACACTACTTAAGTTCAAGACAAAAGTTAATTTATGCACATTCATACATGTAATTATTTTAGAAGAAGCTATTTGAACTGAGTAATTCTGAACTAAAATTGAACTTTTCAAAACAAATTTGAAGTTTTTATATAATTTAAACCAAGTTCAAATGCAACACAGTTTTAAATTAAAAAACTCAATGTTTAATTATTGTCTAAAAAATTAAAAGAAACCAGAATAAGCTACATAAATAAAGGGCTGGTTTCAACCTAAAACTAAAAATAAGTTAATTTGTTTCTTACAGAAGATGACAATCAGTAGTTTTAGTCTTTGATAGCATTTGCTATCAAATACAAAATGATAATAACATGTAAAACAGTAAGAGATTCCTACTGGTGTGCAGCCTTGCTGTTTGCTGACAGCTACTCCCATTGCTAAATCCTGGGTACAAAGAAGAAAATTCATTCACAGCTCTTACAGCTTTTAATACATTTCAATACTTGGGGGAAAACGTTGTAACAACATTGGTGGAATCCCACCCATTTAAAAAAAAAAAAAAAAGATCAAAACAAGGATAATAAAACCCCCTCAACAACCAGTAAGTACCAATACTGAATATATTGCTGTACTTCAGTTCTGCCTTTAAAATTGTACAAAAATAATGACCAAAGTATCTACACGTAAAACAACTGCAATGACTTAGGAATCTCCTAAGACAAAATAAGTAATCAAATGTGCAACAAAAACTCAATCATCTTTTAAATGCACGGTTCTAAGACAAAGTATATCTCCTTTTAGAGTATACTAACTTTAGTACGTATTAATGTTACTGTAGTGTTAAAACACCACAGAAAGATGTCCAAAGAACACAGTTACTTGCTTGACAAGAATAATACATTTTAAACTGTGGTTGTAAAAAACCAATAATCACTAACTGGCCTTGCTTCTCATATGCAGGAGAAGAGTAAACCAAATTCTCAACATAGCTGGAAAAACAACTGAACAGATGTTCCTGATACGTAACAGATAACTCTGAAAGGTAACTTTTTATGATCTTACAAGCAAACCCCACAACACGATTTTTTATAGGTTAGCATTTTAACAGTCCAGCAAAAGACAGGTTAAAACCCAAACTTTACTGTAGTGATACCTAAGATCATGGGGCCTGATGGGATGCACCAACTGGTGAGGGAGCTGTTTGATGTTACTGTGATGGCACTATTGTTTATTTCTGAAAGGTCCTGGCTAGTGGGAGAGGTTCCTGAAGACTGAAAGAGGGCAAATGGCACTCTCATCTTCAAGAGGGCAAGAGAGAATATCTGGGGAACTACCAGCTGGTCTGCCTTATCTCAATCACACAGAACGCGATGAAGCAACTAATCCTGGAAACCACCTCCAGACGCATGAAGGACAAGAAGGTGACGACGACTAGTCAGCATGGATTTATGAAACGGAAATGTTGCTTAACCAGCCAGCCTTCTCTGATGAGACTACCAGCTTGACAGATGAGGGGGGAGCAATGGATGTTGTTTATCTCAACCTCAGTGCGGATTTTGACAGTCTCCTGTAACATCCTCATAGACAAGCAGATGGAACATGATTTATATGTGTGCAGTGAAACGGACTGAAAACCAGCTGAATGGTTGGGCCCAGATGATTCCGACCAGTGGCACAAAGTCCAGTTGGAGGCCAGTCACTAGTAATATACTCCAGGGCTCAACATTAGTTCCTATACTCTCTAACATCTTTAGTAATGACCGGAACATAGGACACAGTGTACCCTCAGCAAGACTGGACATTACACAAAACCGGGAGAACAGGCTTATACACCAGGTGAGTGTGCTGCCATGCAGAAGGACCTGAACAGGTGGGAGAAATGGGCAGACAGGAACCTCATGAAGTTCAATCAAAGGAAATGCAAAGGCCTGCACCTGGGGAAGAAAAATCCCAGGCACCACTACACACTGGGGCAGGGGAGGGGGCAGGTGACCAGACGGAAAGCAGCTTGGCAGAGAAGCACCTGGGGTCCTGCTGGACAAAAAGCTGAACGTGAGCCAGCAATGTGTCCTTGGACCAACAACATGGAGGGCTGCGTTCGGAGAAGCACTGCCAGCAGGTCAGGGGAGATGATCCTTCCCCTCCACTCAGCCACTGGTGAGACACCCCTGCAGTGCTGGCTTCACTTCTGGGCTCCCCAGCACCAGAGAGACAGGGACATATTGCAGCAGGTCCAGTGAGAGGCCACAAAGGTGATCAAGGGCTTGCCGCACCTGACCTACGTGAAGGCACTGAGAGAGCTGGGACTGTTCAACCTGGAGAAGAGAAGGCTCCAGATCAATCTTACCAACGTGCAGAACTACCTAACGGGAGGGAATGAAGAAGACGGAGCAAGGGAGCAAGTCCCTTCTCAGTGGTGCCCACTGAAAGGACAAAAGGCCATGGGTATAAAATGAAAGACATGAAATTCCATCTGAACATAAGACAATGCTCACCAAAAAAAAAAAAAGGGGGTAAAAAAAAGTGATAAACTGTCACCTTATTTACAGTGAGGGTGGTCAAAAACCGGAACAGTCTGACCAGAGTGGCTGTGCAGTGTCCATCCCTGGATACTAAAAATGTGCCTGAACATGGTCCAGGGAAGCATGCTCCAGCTGCCCCTGCTTTGAGTCGGGGGACTGGATGAGATTATCTCTAGAGGTCCTTCCATTCTCAAGGACTCCGATTCTGCAAGGGTGTGGTTACTATCTGGCTAACGTATAATTTGGTATCTTAAAGCAAGCTTTAGTATGTTTAATCTACTTCAGTTTAGAATATTATCTTCTTACAAAAACCAACTAATTCAGTT